CTGGGTTTTTAAATATAGCCAACCTGTCCGACCTGTAGCCATCTCAGATATTTGGAACTTTTTGTGATTTCAACATTTCCCTTTGAATCAATAATTCTGATCAATTTGGCCTTTCCATTTATCATGTCCTTTCAAACCAATTTAGTTTGAACGATATAATCTGTAGGTCAAGTATTGTTCCTTGAGATTTATAAAGAAAAAAAAATCCTTCTCTTTCTTTTCAAGGTGTAATTTCCCATTGTTCCAACATTTTCATTTGAGTTTTTGGCATTTGCTTTCACCTGGCAACCAAATACTGTCAAATCAATTTTCAACCTGAATGAAATTGTCCTCTCGTTATCCATTGTTTCTCGACTTAATTTTCCTTATCAGTCGTTAGAATTCTGTTTTTCATTATTTTCTCTTCTCGATCTTTCCTTCTTTCTCTAGGTAATATTTCCCTCTCTCTCAATCTTTCTTTTGAAGAAAAGAAAAACTTGCATATTTAGGTTAGCCAGGTGTCCACCCGTCAGTACCTATGCGGGTTAAACTTCCTGACACCGACTGCAGCTGCTTGTAGTGACCCTTCCTACCCATAAATTAGTTACAGGCAGAGGCGTACCGAGGCAAAGTGCCGTCCTGTGCCCGTATTCGTAATGGCACCTTCTTTTTTTGGAGGAAAAATATATATGAAATACTCTTAATGGCGTTGATTAGTACTTGCAAAACAACAAATTCAAAAATTAGCTCAACAAGCGTTATCATATTTTAACCTTTCGAGCTTTTGCAGAAGCAAAGTTTCTAATAATTTGGTCAAAGTCTATCTTCTCCAGTTTCATGTTCAATTGAAATTAGAGACAAACTGGATAAGCGATCTTGCGACATACTCGATCTCAAGTGACTTTTAATGAGCTTCAGTTTTGAGAAGCTTCTCTCTACAGTAGCAAAAGAAAATGTGAGCGTCAAAAACAGCCATAAAGCAATCACAATATTTAGTACTATTTCTTGAACTTGACATCGATAAATCCGCCTCATTTATTCGATAGCCGATGATTTGGTCATCATTGTCATGTCACGTACCACTTTGGAAGCTGCCGCTAAAAAAATCCCGAAGTCAGAAAAATTCCAAAGGCAGCCTAAATACGTCTAAGTCAGCACCGGATTCGCTACCGAGAATTTTAAATTTTCGCTCCAACTCGCTTTCAGTATCTTTCAAAATTGCTTGCGATGATAATCCAGTACAGACAGTTTGCAGATGAGACGTGGAGTCAAATCGTGCTTCCAGTTAATTTACAAGTCGTTCATAACATTCGTAAAGATTTCTCTTTACTTCCTGCACAGGTGTTTGACATATATCATCTTCCTTTTCTCCTGGTAGCTTTCTCTTTCTTCTAAACCGCTTTTTCATTTCCTCGCACTTTGCTTTACTTTGAATTACCGATTCAGATAACAGCCTGTCCCTGTTTCGCTTAAAGAAAATTTTGGTCGCATCCATGTGAGTTACGCACACATCCAAACCAATACCAGGTTCTTGAAGTTTCTTTTGGGTGAGATTTATTTGTTCCAGAATTTCTGCCCAGTAAAACAAATGTGACATGAAGGAGAAGTTTTCAATTGAAAGCAAAATGATTTGTGCATCCCCTCTTGTTTGAAGATTTTCTGAAGCTGAGTTTAATGAATCAAGTGCCTGAATCACTCCCTAAAATCTGGTTTTCACTACACGAATAGCTTCGTAACGTTCACTCCAACAGGTGGTTACCAAACGGTTCATCATGGCCTTCACATGCGAAGATAAAACTTCCTACCGGTGATTGGAAGAGGAGAAAAATGTCTCTCAATCACTCCGAAAAATGTAATGGCACTTGTATTCACAGCTGAGGCATGAACATCGCATAAATTCAGACTATGATTAGAAGACGTTGAATCATCAACTCCAACTATACTAAGCGCATTGTCAAATCTTATTCCTCTACATTTTTGAAATCAAGTTTCTCTTTCTCCAGTCGATCCAAAATCATTTTCTTGATGATATCATAAGCTGTCTTCCAATGCTCAGTGATAAAACCAAGAAATGATTCCCGCACCTCCACTTCAACAACGACATATCAACAAATGAAACTCATCTGATTAGTATGAGAAATGCCCGGCATGCTGTGTAGTATGATTGCAAAATAATTGGTTTTTCGAATTCGATCCAATATACTTTCCTTTACTTGTTTTCCCCAAGATATAAATGAATTCATTTTGGATTTTTCGTGACACGTACCGCCGGTTGTCATTTACTTCCTTCAAGTAATGCTTTCCAAAAACAGGATCATACTTGCTCTTAAGTTCAACAAGTTCTATAAAGTCACTTTTATTGGAACTATATACATTTTCTCGATAACCTCTAAAAGGCAGGTTCTGTTTCGTTAGAAACTTTACGACATCAAGTAACCGTGTTAAAACCTGTCTCCTAATCCGTTTTTCTTTCATAGTTTGTTCTTGTAATTTACTGTCAAGGGTTTTACCTTTATTAAGGGTCATTTCCAACATCTTCCATTCCTTGAAAGCTTTTTGATAGTCAGATGAATTTTCATGTTCAGGCATTTTTGAATTAAGCATCCAAAACTTTTGAAATTCTGGATTTCTTGCTAGACTTGATTTGCGATTCCCTGTCTTCAGTAAGAGATGACAGTAGAAACAATAAAGAGACTTGTTCATCTTTGAGTACAGCAACCATGATCTCTAAATTGCCTGTCGATTCTTCATAGTTTTGTAAAATCAGTGTTGTAGCATTATCCGCGGACTATTTCTCCCCGGTTTTACAGTCGGAGCAAACGGTTCTTCTTTGTTTTGAAACTTTTTAGGCCCCAATGTTACAAGATCAAGAAGCAACTGTTCTGAGCAAAAATGCGATGTCTTCGTACACAGCAAATTCTGTTTGCTTGTTCTATTTCTTTATTTCCAGTAACTTCATCAGTTCATATTCATACCTGTCCTTACCGCTTGCACTGGAGGTATCTTCCTTTGGCATATCAATATTATCAATCCATTTAATGATGTTAATTCTCGCAGGAAATTCCTCTTCAACTTTTATTTCTATATTTGTCTCCACCATATTCGCATTTTCTCCATGTCCTCCCCCTCCTAGTTTTGATGAACATTCAGCATCCTCGTCTTTGCATTTTGCTTTAGCTACATATTTCGTCAGTAGGAAAACATGTAAAGATGCAGCACATTTTCTTTCCTCGCGTTCTCTGGTAGCTTTTTAACTTGCGGTTAAGCCGCCCCATCTATTTTTTGCCATTTACTCATTCTAATCGAGTCAAAAATATAAAAAGAAACAAATAGGAAGAGAGCATACTCAACAGCATAGGGAATTTTTATTTATTGTAATAAGATACAATTTGGCACAAGGCTGAAAGTGGGGTTATAAAAAAAAATTGATAATTTTTTTTTTTTAACTATCCCAAACTTAGCTAGACACATTCGTGACCCATTCGCATCTTATAATGGCATAAGGAAGTGTCGTCTAAAAATAGAAGTAAATAATTACAAGGGTTTATTCTATACAGCCAATGATTGTTTAAATCTTTTCTTAAATTCAATTTTTAACATTTACTATCCTTTTTTTCTTATCCTTTTTTATTTCATTCTTATATTCAATAGAATTTAAAATTTAATCCATAGTAATGGCCGTAATAAAAAATAATTGAACATTTGTATTTAAAAAATCATTAAAATTTTATAAGAAATGTTCACCTCTGATACTTGCATTAAACATTAACTTATTCTCCAAAGAACTGACTGACAATTTTTTAGGCACCCCCCCTCATTATTTTGCCGGCGTATACATTTTTTTTTTTTTAAACCTACGGCTTTATGAAAAATGGTAATGAAACTAAACTAATAAGGATAGACATATTTACAATTTATTAATTTCCATCAGTTCAGCAGATTATTTAAAAAATATTCGTGTTTTAAAATAAAGTTCTTAAAACAATAAACATTAAAAGTCAATATTAAATAATTACACTTCTGACTTAACTTTGTTTTTGTTTTTTAGAGAAACAAATATTTTTGTGTTTCTGCTACACAATGAATTTCTTTCCCCCAGACGTGCTTACGGGGTGGGGGATGTCTACAGTTGAGTTAGAATGGAGATTTTTACAGTTAATCCTAAATGAATATTTAAAAATATTTTTTAAATCTTTTCGGAAGAGTTTAAAGCATAATATTTGAAAATTTTACATCTAAATAATCTTAACTTACTTTTTCATATGGCAAACTTAAGATTCTTAGTTTGTAATACTAATATAAAAAGTTAATCTTGTAATATGCACTAGACTTGATTTTTTTTTAAATGTTTAGTTTAAAAATCTCTAAAAAATTGGAAATTTAATGTAGAATGTTGTTATTTTCACATAATAATTCTAAAATAGTGATTTTTATGGAAAATCTATTGAAATCTCTGAAAAGTTATACAGTTTTGAGCTTTAAAAATTGCAAGTTTAGTAAAAACTTTCGAAATGTAAACAAACGATTAATCGCGTATATTTCTAGTTCTACTTTATTACGAATATTTTTCTTTATTTAAAATAAGTCTCCAATCTTTTTCTGCAAAAAGAACCAATTGAAAAGAAAAAAATAACATTCATTTTTAACAAGTTTCAAATATCTACAGTTGATTTGTCTGGGAGGAGATTCTACAGTTGAGTTAATTTGGGGTGGAGATTTTACAGTTGATCAATCTGGAAAGATTCTTTAACTGATCCAATGTTTTATATCAACGTTTTGCAATAAAAAAGCAAATAATTCGTTATCTTCAAGATACGCACTCCCGAATTTTTCAGCTTTTTTAAAGGAAGCCGCCTTCAAATTAGCAGCAGGATTCAGCCTCGTGGCACTTTTGATCTGCTTTTCTTTTTTTTTTTTTTTCCGGGAAAAGCAACTTATTTTTCTTAAATAATTTTCTTTTACAATAAAATAATTTGGGCATTTTTCAATAAATATATGTCAATGAATTTTTTTCAATAACAAAATTTCTAAACTTTTTTTAACAATGAATTGAAAACTTTTTAACAATGAATTAAAAATAAATCAAACATTATTGCAGGATTTCCCGAAAAAAGTAGATCAAAAGACCGTACGAGGCTAGCTCCTGTGTTACTATAACGAGAGCATTCCTTAAAAACTAAGCTGAAAACTTTGGGATTGCGTATCTTGAATAAATATTTTAGACTTCTTTCATAACGTCATAGCAGTAATGTTGAAAAAAAAAAAAAATAACGAGGGGGTCTTTATTGTGCAGGGACCGGCAAAATAGCCTCTTTCTAATTTTTAAATTTAAATGGAGGCCGTTTTATTCTAAAAAAAAAAAAAAAAAAAAAATTAAACTTACGTTTTGAAGTTAACAGGTTTTTACCAAGGATATCTGGTCAGTCCAATGTTGCGTGTAGGTTTGGCTCTGAGTGTATATGGTTGGTCTGTTCTAGGATTTGTACCACAGACACCAGAGAATTGGGACAATAAAGCAATAAAATCCAAATATTTCTTAAAACCCATGTGCCTTATCATTTACTAGCAAAATCAACTATAAACGTTATTTGATTCAATGATTTTGCTCTTAAATCTAATCAGTATCCCGTGATATGTTGAAACACCATAACATAAAAATGAATGATCGCGTCTTCACTTTTTTTTTTCACTCGCAAAATACCGCTCCATGAAATGCTGCCCGATCCCAGGCCCCCACCACACCACCACCGCTTTTTGTCTGCCACTGGTTACAGACTTAGCCCAACTAGAACTGCTACTATTGTCAACCCTGTAAAATCCTACCTAAGTAGTATTTCTATTTTGCTACATTAGCATAGACATCTGAGGTTACAATTGGTTGATGCTTGTACAACTTCAAGACGATTACGAAGCCTATTTTATTTTATTTCTTTATTGTTTTATTTTTTAAATAGTGAATTTTTATTTTTCTATCACTACACACCTTCAATCGTCAATCGCAGTTTTAATCAAAAGAGAAGGTAATTCATATATATATATATATATATATATATATATATATATATATATATATATATATTCTTATTGTTTTCATTTCAGGATCTAATATAAACGATGCTCTGTTGAAAGGCCTTTCCCTTATACAAAAATCCAGTCTTGCCAGTGCTGCTTTTCGAGCGATGAACATTTTCTTCCTGACTGACGGCGATGCTTCCGAAGGCATCACACAAACATCTAAGATTATTGCAAATGTTAAGAACGCAAATCGAATGCAAATTCCGATCCACTCAATCCTCATTGCGGATGCGAGTTTCCATTTGGCCAATCAACTTGCGCTGACAAGCCACGGTCAGTCCTTACGTATCTACTCACCGGAGCAGCTCATCACTGAACTGAAGGAGTTCTTCGATCACATTAGTAACGTGTTGGCCAAGCAACTAAGGTTCAAGTATGCAGATCAGTTGGTTAAAAAGACGACGCAGGATGATTTCCAGGTCTATTACGAGGGTTCAGAACTAGTAGTAGCAGGTATGTGCAAGCAGGGAGCGGGAAACATTGATCCTTCGGTGGTTCTAATAAATTCGGATGGAGAAAGGACAATGCAGGTATCGTCAGATTCTTACACTCAAGACGTCGGGAATATCGCAGAGAGAGTGTTTGCCTTGCTGAGCGTTAAGCAAACGATGAAGCGTGCTTTTGGATACGATGAAGAACAAGATGAAGACGGAATCTACAAAAAAGCGGCCGACATTGCACTCAAGGTAAAAATAGTTTTATTACATACATCCTCACGTGTAAGTTTTTTAAAATATAATATGTTAAATTTATACCCTTTTAAAATTACGTATGCTTTGGCGGAAACTAAATATAGTCATTATCGCTATAATTAATATTTTGTCACTTAGTTAAACGAAATTAACTTTTACATTTTATGATAGAAAATAAGTTATACGCAATATTTTCTCTCAGAATTAAGTAGTTGCGATGCACTAAAAATAATATACTTTATGACCAGAAGCGAGGCTAGAGCAACTAGACAACAGAATATATATATATATATATATATATATATATATATATATATATATAATGTGTGTGTGTGTGTGTACGCTAGGGGCTACAGAGAGTTTAAGTAAGGGAAAAGACTGGGTATAAGTGGGGGGGTTGAGGAGAGGATAAAAAGAAGAACAGGGATCAAGGCATCAAAAGATGTCGATTGACATTACATTTAAATTTTTGAAGATTATAGTTATCAGAGAATCAAGTAAGAGGAAAGGAATTCCACTGTCGGGAAGTGCAAGAGAAGAAGCTGTAGGAGTAGAAGAGGCGGTTACATTTAACTGTTTCGACAGTTAAGGGGTAGGACCGAGATGCCAACCTATTAGCACGCTTAAATTTATGTAGTCGGGGCACCAGTGAAAATAGCTCGTCAGGGCAGATGCCAAGAAAATATTTATAGAAAAGACAGAGGGAAGCCACATTACATCGGTGAGAAGGTGACTGGAGTCTAGACCACATTGCATATCCGTCTTTGAATTTTGTTCAGAACCTCGAGATAAACAACCAGATCAGCAACAGTATTCAATGCATGGAAGAATGGTAGATTTGTAGATGTGAAGGATGAACTTAGACACAGAGAACCAACTTTCCTTGTGGTAGATACAGTTATTGATTCAATGTAGTTGCTTCAGCTCAGGTCAGTGGAAAACGTGAGACCAAGAATGCGCAATGAGGAGCTCTCGTGGAGTTGAGCATCAGCCATGCTTATAGGAGGCAGAGAAGTTTCTGTATGGCGAGTAAATGACAGCAGTTTCGTTTTGGATGTATTGAAATTTACAAGCCATTTCCTTCCCCAACCAACCACAGATTGTAGGTCGTTTTCGAAACCAAAGGCTTTGTCAGCAATGCCGGATTTACTATTGAGACAAGAATAAATGGTAGTGTCATCTGCATAGATACCTACTTGAGAACTGATGACGTCAGGAAGATCATTTATGAAGATCAGAAACAGTGTTGGACCAAGGATAGAGCCAGCGTTCGTATGGAAGGAACTAGAAGTGAACCTTTTCAAGACAACCTTCATTTTACGGTTAAACAGGAATGATTGAATTAAATCAAATAATCGTCCTGTAATACCGTATCCTTGAAGCTTGCGTAAATCGCGCTCATCTCCTTGGTTCTCGCATGCCAAACCCGCCTTTGATATATCTAGAGCAACAGCTCGAGCTTCACTGTTATTATCAAGAGCTTGGTATACATATATAGCCGTAAGCACATCAGCGGTAGACCGGGCAAAGCAGAAACCATATTGCTTGTCAGAGAGCAGATCGTGGGAGGTGAGATGCTTAACTACTTCGGCATTGATTAAAGCCTCGAAGACTTTGCCGAAAAGTGGTAGGAGACTGATGAGACGGTAGTTAGATGGGTCAGAAGTGTCTCCATAGTTCTTAAAGACCGGGAAGATAGAGGAGGACTTCCAACAGGCAAGAATCGGCGAGGCAATAGTTGTATAGTTTGGAGATAACAGGAGATAGCTCAAGGGCACATTTCTTTAAGACTACGGCTGGTATCCCGTCACTACCACTTGCTTTATGAGAATCTAATTTAGATATGATGTCTAATCCCATCGACGGAATTATGCACATATCACTCAGTATAGCCTCAGTTCTTGGGGGAAAGTCAGGTATGCGCACCTCGGATGAGTAGTGTGTTGAGTTAGATGAGAATTTCCGAGCAAAGTATTCAGCCTTATCAGCTGAGGATGTTAGGACTTCGAATTGATTGAATAGAGGAGGGATTCAGGATTTGCTCTAGTTCAGCACACTCTTGCAGAGCTGCCAATAATCTTTAGAACCAAACGTGCGAGATGCAATGCGTTGTTTCATTCTATCAACAAACAGTAACTTTGTTTCGTTGAGGATACGCTTGCACTCATTACAAGCAAAGACAAAGAAACGTCTGTTGCAATCAGACACGTCGCCCCGGTACAGACGGAAGAAGTGATTCCTATGAGGCATAGCAGCAGAGCAAGCGAGTGAGAACCAAGGAGATAAGCACGATTAAACTTGGTATTTTCTAACTAGAATGAAAGCCTCGATGTCGGATTTTACCCAGGAGGAGACCTCAGACGCACATTTTTGTGCGGGATGATTAAAACCCACATTCCAAGGAACGTCGCGAAGGAAGTTACAGAACGAGTCATTGCCTGCGCGTTGATAACAGAAAGATATTCTGTTAGTAAGAGGTTCATGGCTGGGTAGAAGTGGAAGGAGATGTTAACAGACACCACCGCGTGATCAGATTTTCCAAGAGGGCAGAGCTGAGTTGCGCGACACGAATAAAAGATGGAGGTAAAACAGAGATCGAGAAGAGATGCGTTACCATCTGGGTTACTAGGGAAACGCGTAGGAAAGTCAACCACTTGCGCGAGTAATTGAGTGATTGAAAAATTAAGGGTTTGGATGCCAGAGAGGTCAGTAACAGAGGGTTTAAGTGACATGGTATGGTGGGTGTTAAAGTCACCGAACACGAACATGGTTGCAAACGGATTTGTGGCTTTGTTTATATTATCAGAAATGCTATCGAGTATACAATAATCTTGAGAGGAGGGGGAACGGTAGAGAAAGAGATAGCTTACTGAATTGAGGAGAGAGAGAGAGAGGGGAGGAAACACATATACGAATGGTCTGGAGATTCCAAAGAAAGTTCTCTAGGCAGCGGGAGATGATCATGGACATAAACTCCCAGGCCAGACATGTGGGTTTTAGAGTCTTTTGTAAGGAGAAGAAAGTAGCCAGGAATCGAGAAATCAGAGGAAGGGATTGACGAGTTATGGTTCGTCTCACAGAGAGCTAGTATATCAGGAGACTTAACAAAGAGGAACGATTCCACACAGCAGAAGTTGGTACGAATACCACGGATGTTGGAGAAGGAAATGTTAAATGGTTTCGATGAATTTTTAGCCGGTTTAGGTTTATATTTTTGGTTGTTTATGGTAATGTTGATTACATTGGTAAGTAAAAGGCCTAAAGTAATAGAAGCAGTTCGTCATCAAATGTGGCATAAGCAGAAAGGAACTGGCGCAAAGTAAAACACAATGTGGCATCGGGGTTGCCCACCGGAGGTGCATGCAGAGATACCCATCCATGCGCGTCATGGCACTGCAAGAACCACGATATTATGCAACTGTTGATCAGAGCAGCCTCTCAAGACGCTACGCAAGAGTTCGCGCTCCTAACTACCAGTCGGGAACAGCAACCAGAAAAGTGCCAACCCGGTACCCACAGTATGAAGAGACATTGACACAAACCGCATACATCACAAGAGATTCACGACAGCACTACTACCAAGGCCAGAGAAAAGGAAAGGATCCTGGAACCTCTTCCTAAACAGGAAATAAGGGATGGGCTTCTACTCCTGTTCAGAAGAAGGGGGGGGGGAATATTAACCGGTCGATATGAAAGACTACTTACTCCTATTAGAAAAAAAAAGAAGTAAAACACAAATAGACAAAAACAAAGACAACAACGGGCAAGGCAACACATCTAGAGAGGCAAGCTAGGCTGTGAGTCAAAGCGCGTGTTATGTATGTATATATCGCTTGTGGCTAGAGGTCTAAGGGACACATTGGGACTCCTCCTAAGGCTAAAGGGAGATGCTTGAGCATTCACTACACTCGCCCATATGAATTGTTATAGATGGATAGAGAAGAAGCAAGGAGGGGCTAAGGGTAGGGACGCTGGAATGTAAATATAAAGTTATATTAAGTCCAACATTCAGTTCATCAAGAAGAGAAGAGAACCACTCCACGCCTGTGAGCAAAGAGTAAAAAAAAAATAATGTTCATTGCTTGTATGAACACGAAAAATCGCCATGACAAAATATTCAAGGTTTTCAAAGAGGGGAAAACGAAGGTAAAATAAAAATAAAATAAAAAGGAAGCAAACATTACTAATCAGGAAAAGAGAGAGGGTCGGGGAGAAAGTAAAATAAATACAGAAATTAAATTCAAAGACATACACACAGGATAATGGGCGACGATATTCTCACGTTGCTACTTAGACGAAAGTTTAGGCTATGAGTGGCAATGCAACCTTACCTACGGCCGAACGAGGTTGTTACAGAATATCCCACGCGTCGGTTAAGATGTTTCCCTTTCGTCTTTATTCATATTATATATATATATAATTATTTATTTAAAAATATGATTCCATCGCTACATAAGAGTTCTCATGTTTCAAAACAAGAGCTGAAAACTTCAATATAATTATTTGAGTTAAATTGAAAGTACCAAGCTCTGTTCCATCTTCAAGCGAAATTTTTTTTGGAATAACTAATTCTTTAAATTTATGCGTTTTTATAAGAACATCAATCAACAAAGTGACAAATTTTATATTTGTATTAATTATACGTTCTTTTTATAGATACAAATATTTAAGTAAATGCTCTGTTTTTTTGTTTTTTTTTATAATAAATAGTATTAATAACATTTACTGGCCTGAATGTTCGAGAAATTTTCATAGAAAATATGCGTCCTCCGACAGGAATCGAACCTGTATCCTATACGGAACCGTCATATAGCCTGACGTGCCTTAACCGATTGGGACACAGAGTTTAGCAAGGTCGATTTTACTGTTTTTAAACACAATTCTCCATGATTTTCTCTCATACATTCATATATGCTCAACGCGTATCCATTCGGTTAAGGCACGTCAGGCTTTCTTGGGAAAGGTATGAATCCACCTGTGTACTCTTACAAAATGTGCAGTTTTCTAAATGAATTATCTTCTAAGGATTTTTAATAGGCTTCAATGATTTTGAAGTGTTTTTCAATTTTTGTGTGTGTGTGTGTGTGTGTGTGTGTGTGTGTGTGTGTGTGTGTGTGTGTGTGTGTGTGTGTGTGTGTGTGTTTGGTATCACGTCCTTTGGCGTAGAATCGAAAATGAAGTGCTTGTTTTTCATCAATAAAACCGACTTTCTTTTCAGTACAAATATCTGACGCCCATGACTTCGATGAAAGTTTCCAGCAAAGGTAAGTTCAACACTAATATATGTGGCACATTCTTCAAGAAGGTTAAAAGATATTTTTAAAATTCTAATATTTATCTGCTAAACACAGAGTTAAAGATTTTGGCCAAGATCCTGACGGAGCGTTTGAAGTCAGTTGCCGAGCTTCTGCTGGGACCTGAGCAGACTTGCGCTGTGAAGGGCCGAACAATTCAGAGCAACCTGCATCTGATTCGCACGATGCTAGAGGGTGTAAAAGATGACGAGTAAGCCGTGCTGATCAATTTGGATCATTCCAAGTCATTTGATAGGGTTGACCATCGCTACATGGTTGCTGTCCTGCAGACCGCCGGATTCGAACCCGACTTCTGTTGGTGGATTAGCCTCCTATATCGCTCCCCCAGTGCTGTGGTACAGATGAACGGAAAGCGGTCGCGCGCTTTTGCGCTGTCTCAGTCGGTTCGTAGGGTTGTCCACTGTCTCCCCTATTTTACCCTTTGGCGTTGGAGCCTCTACTTTGCCGGTTAAGAGACAGGTCGTGCAGTCCCGCCCGACGTGGAATCGCTGTCCCTGGTAGGGCTCGAGCCAGGGTTTCCGTGTACGCCGATGACGTATCTACTTTCCTGTCGTCCCGCAGCGTCATTGAGGTTGTAATGAAGGCGCTTGATCGGTACGAAAAGGTCATAAGGGTCATGATTAACCGCGACAAGTCTTCCGGCTAGGTGCCTGGAAGGGGTCGATCTTCCGGGGCCTTTTGGTTGGACGGCCGGTCCTGTTCGCATTCTTGGAGTGTAGTTTAGACCCGACCTTCACCTGGAAAAAAATTGGTCAGAAGTAAAGGCAAAGTTTGGCGTGCGGTCGCGATTTGACGCCGAAGAAGGTTGTCCTTGAAGGGCAGAGTTCAGGCGTGTGCCACTTACGACTTTCCTCTTTTCTTTTACCACTTGTCTGTACTTCCTCTCTGTAAGCGACGTAAGAAGGCGATCGAGCGCTGTCTTTGTGGCGGGGTACAAACATCACGTTAACAGAAAAGTCTGTCCAACGTCCGATGTCATGAAGGGGGAGGCTGGGAATGCCGCACTTGGAGAGTCACAGAGGCTGGCATTCCTACGCTGCGCATTGACAGAGGACTCGATTTTGGCAAGGATTGTGAGAGATGCCTTCCCTTGTCTTACTATCACTCCTCATATCTCGCGGGCTGAGCGCCTCCTGGCGATTGGTTTGGAATAGGCTATTTCTCAATGACAAGGCCTTCATATAGGGCTTGGCGGATTTGCCAGACTGTGAACGATGTGACCTTAGCTTAGAGGAAGCGGCTTTGCACGCCTTCTATCATTGTCCTTGGGTCTGCCCCCTATGCGACCATGTCGGCGAGTTGACGGCTCGTATCGCTCTCGAAAAACTCGTGCTCATCGGTCGCGTATACGCGTGTGACAATGTGTCGCCCCCATATTCTGGGGTGAAACGGATGGTGTTTCTATTGATCCTGGCCACGGTCCAAATGGTGATTTGGACGACGCGATTGGAGGAAGTCTTGCGAGGTGACCGTTATTCTCATCAGGATCTAATCCGATTTTTTGAGCATCAGCTCAAGATGAAGATTAGAACTGGTAGAAAGCGATTGGTTTCGACAGATTTCGGCGAAAGGTTGGTAACTACGGTGAGCCTGGTTCGCGTGATCGGGGATAACCTTGATTTTCTTTTTTAGTCCACCTAAGTCACATCAGGGTGGTTTTCTGTGGAGCCCTCCCCTGGTTAGGATAGATCCTTTTTTGTGTACCTAGTTAATGTGAGTAAGTGTCGTTCCCAGCTTCTACTTTGGTTATGATCCAAATCAAGATTCCCAACCTCCCCAATTTGTTTTTGGCCCCTTTTTTCATCTCGACTGTGTCAGCTTTCTTCTTTCCCCGTGGCCGTATTTATTTTATCCTTTCCCTCTCCTTTAGTGAGAGAGCCTCTTGATTTTGTTTAAAGGAAGAATACAGCGGCCTCTCTGAATACTTTTGAGAGCTTGACGGGTCCAAATAACTTCAGTTATCCTTTTATTTTGTGTATTTGTTTTGGGGTTAATCCCCGCCCCTCATTACGTATCATCCACAGATTTCTGTATATAGAATTTTATAATCGTTAATTTTTATGTCATAGGGTGTTTTTTGTAAGTTCTCTGCGAGTATCTGGTATTATGGTGCCACAGTTGTATTTTATATACAATAAATCTATCCAAACGAACTTGCGTTTAAGAAAAAAGATTGATAAATATGTTTAAATTATCAGCAATACTATTCCATTTCTTGTTAATAAATGGTTTCTTTCCATTTTCAGAGTCTGTATTAGGGTCTGCCAATTCTCAGAAACCTTTTCGCTCCAACGGTCGAGTGTATGGTGTCCATGGCGGTTATGGCGGAGGTAAGAAAATTTATTAATATTTTCTTAATCCTAAGCTGATGAACATCACTTTAATTGACACTTAAACTATATATCCCATATTCTCTTGGCAGACTGACGAAATTTTAATAAGTAGTTTATGATGTTTAACGACTTTAAGCAACCAGTTTGTTATGGGAGTCATCAGTTTGTAGCCGCGTTGGTTCGTTTGTTACGTGATTCGGTTACCACATGTAACGATATTAATCAGTTTGTTGAAGAGGATATTCTCTTTTGTTCAAGGGAGACATACATTTATGTGATAAGTTATAGTGGAAATTTTATTGTGATCCTATGAACTTTTTTTTAGAATAGAAGCTAGTATAGTAATAGTATTGTGCTGTATGCGACACGTGGTTTGCTAGGGAATAAGAAATCCCCGAGGAGGGAAAGAGACACGCTTTGTCCATACGGCGTTTTGTGGATGAAAAGAGTGAGAGAAGAGAGAGGGGGCATTAGGAAAAGTTCCCTAGTAGACATAGCGTGGTAATCCCATAGTTATACGCTTTGTAATACGGTATTTGAAAAAGGACTTCATACCTCATCAGTATCAGTTCGAAACTGTCACTAACCCATGACAGAAGATACATTATTCTAATTATCTTTTTACCAGAGTATTGCCCTTCATATGACGGTATATTGGGGAATATAATTTTGTTATTTTAAGTAATATTCGATTTTGTCATTTTCTCATCCATACTTCAGTTGTACCATGAGACGCTCGTACATCACATATGAGTAAAGATAAAAAGACGACATATCTTATATGATACAAATACAAGGATAATTAAATAAGGGACACATTTTGTTTCTTAAGTTTTCTCGGATGCGCAGCCCACTAGACGGAATAAATATTGTAAAAAAAAAAAAAAAAAAAAGAGAAACAGGACGTTCTACTCAAATACAGGTATTCACTAAAAATAACATTTGAATATATATATATAAAAACACAATTGAATGACACCTATCAAAATACGTAAAAATTATTAAAATGTAACGTATTTTTAAGTCGAGCAGAATTGTTGTTTAAAAAGTGCTTAGTAGATAATTAGAGCAACAATAGTTAATTAGTAAATGTTTAAAGGACTTATCTCATTGACCAAACAGATTTTCGTGTAATAACGTTATTACGCAAAACTCTGGAGTTGGTCAATAAGGTAAATTTGAACACTTACTAATATATATATATACATATATATATTATGCAGTGTCACATTAGAACATGCACATATCCACTACAAAATTGTGCATTTTTGTTTCAACGTCAAAAAAGTGAGATAGAAGAGTTTAACGGCTGTTTCAGTGAAATGGAAAAAGTTGTCGATTTCAAATCTTTTCATTTGTACCCCCTTACTTCTTAAAATAACGACTAACATTCATATTTATGATTGTTATTGCAGCATTTTGTTAAAGTTGTTAAGTTCAGATATTTAACGATGCGTTAGGGGAATTTTTACGGATATTTTGTTGTGGAACTCGCCATGAGTTTATTCAATCATTAACTTATGAATATTAAAATAGGAAATCTGTGAAATTTTCACGGGTCTTTCTAGTCAAGTTAATTCTACTATCTTTTTTTTTTTTTTTATTAGGAGGTGGTGATCCTCATTTTATCATGGATATTACTGGTTTGGACATACCTATTTGTTTTAATGTCATCAGTCAGCCTAGGCAGATTATGACTCTTGTGGATGATCCTAGTACACGTACGTATCTTTAGCAAAATTTGATTAAAACAAATCATTCAAAAGCATTTATAAAACATTATATTAAATTATTACAAAATAATCAAGTAAAATCTTTGTTATTTCCGTTTTAATCTTTTAAAATTGTCTTCTTTTTTTAAAAAAAATGTTCTCCAGGCATTCAAGCTACAGCGTCTATTGTATTGATGCAGAGCAATTCAAGTCATCATTTCAAAACCTACATGGGAGAGATTCAAGTTCGAGCTCCAGGTCTTGAATTAAAGGTTACGCCACACTCAATAATTGCCAATTCTCAGTCGCTATCGTGGACAAGCGAGTCGATAATCAAATTTGCGACATCGGACGTCACAAGTCATGGGGATGGCAAAATATTTACCATTAGGATAGGAAATGAAGTCCGCTTCGCTGTGAAGAGAGTCATTCGACATGGCATTCCACACAAGGTGGATTTTCTCGACTTCTACATCACCGACAGACGGGGTTTGTCTATAAGAACGAAAGGAATTGTGGGTAAGAACAGAATTCATTTTTTTTTAACAAATTAATCACTATTTTCTCTATATAGCAAAAAACAAACCCTCCAAAAAAGCTTTCTAATTATACTTTGTAATTAAATGATTGAAACAATTCAAGTAATAACACTGTTATCGCTAGCGAGAATACTGGGGGATGGCTGTTGGAAATCTGAGCAATCACAAACCTTTGGCCAGAAAGTTCAATAGTAATAATAGTAATAAAACAGAATGTGCTTTCTTATTGACATGGCAGTCCTTGCAGATTGTAATGTATGTTTGAAAGTATTTAAAAAAAAAACTATCAAAATACAAGTGGAAATCTCAAATGTAGCACACGAGGACATCAATAATTCCAGTTGTAGTTGGAGCCCTCGGGTTGATTGGAAAAGGATCCGATATACTCATTGAAGAGATTACTGGTAGCCCGTGCCTTAAAGAAATACAAAAAAATTTTACTTATATGTACAGCTCACACATTACGAAGAGCTTTATCTATGTAAAATGTGTGATCTTTGTTTTTTAGTTAATAACATCGGCTACACGTGACAGGTAGTCTAGTTTCAGGGCTGTCCATAGGTAAGTTACACTTGTTAGGTGTAGTTGCAAAGAATTTAGTAAGGTTTGCGACCTATCCTATACATTAAATCTGGCAAGCGAAGCGAGGCACTGGAGTGCCTGGAAATCAGCCGAATGCTGCTGGAACTTGTTTTGCGCCATCCACGCACGATGGTGGAGGAGTGCATTATCTTGCTAGAAAAAAAAACAAAAAAAAACATTACAACAGGAAAACATGGCAAATGTAAAAGCATAAAGGGATGCAAAGGATCTACATCATCATCATCTGTGTATATCACACTTGCCACGACAGAATATAGTTTAATTACAAACCCCACCAGAATGCTTCCCACGCCATTACAGAGCCGTTAGCAGCTTACACAACAGTATGTCCTGTTGACAGGCAGGATCCATAATTTTATCTGGTCTTTTAAACACACAGACAAAAATCATCGGCTGGAAAGGTGATACGTGGTACCAGTTTTTCGTGGTCCAATAGCAATCTTCTCTGGTTCAAATGAAGTGCAATAAACTGATGCTGTAATATCTATAACGGTACCCCTCTTGGTCGACAACTTACAAAATCCTATTAAATGAAATGCATGTTCCCCAGCTTTACAGTGGGGTGAGATCTTATGCAGTTTTCTCCGTTTGATTGTTACTAACCTGTCAGTCACCGACAGTCCCGTTTATGTATTATCAGTGGGCGCTTGCAGATGTCTGTTCGGAAGTGACATAATTGCTATTTTCCAAGAAAAGCCTAAAATAATTACCACCTAGTAGATAGTGACACATTTTCCTGACCCAGCAATCATTCTGCAGTCAAACGGTGTTACTGTCCGCATTCCATAGCTACCACAGCTACACTACCTTTCCAACATTTACGCTACACATTGATCTTAGTTCAAGTTGGGGTGGGTGAAGCCATCCAGTCTATTTTGTAGTACATTATCATCTAAATTATTATCCGGCAAACTTAAAATCAAAATAAAATTGTATGAAAATAATATTAATATAAATATTAATGTCAAATAAAAGAAATTATTTTGAGTTTGGTGACTTTGCTGTCTTTTATTACAACGAAAGATATTTTATTTCAGGTGGTCTTGTCCATTTAGTTGGTTATGTCAGATGGACACGTAAGTATCTCAATGGGAAAATGAAGGCTCATCTTCTCTTGTACAATAGATACAAACGTCTTCAGACGGCGGTGATGGCAGTCCTAAAGGAACGACCCGATCCACTGACTCACAGGAAGCCATGTTGGATGTTATGGCGAAACACTTACAAACAACTGGTGCATTTTCAAGCAAAAAGAAAATTCCAGAGAAAGAATTAATATTTCAACTTGTCTATACAACGCCAAATATTTAATCTTTGGTTTATCTGATATTGCGAAAACGACTTTTTTTTTTTTAATTTTTTTTTTCAAAGAAATATTTTTCGCCAAATTAAAAATCTTTGAATTATGAATGTCAACGGAAAAAAAAAAAAAAGTGATTTTATTCTATATTAAATACAAAATGATTTATATATTTATCAGTCACCCAACCTGATCGAACTTATTTACAAACGAGATATTCTAGTATGGTAACAGGAGACATTCGACATTGATATAACAACAGAATGTCTCGTTTGTTAGTACAGAGAATCCGTTACAAATACACTGCGTTAACGCAACAAATTATGCGGCACTTATTTCGATTAAGCGCTTAAAAACGGTTTTAGTAGTTGACATTAAGTGATAGATGGCTATAAAGAAGGAACTCGATTATTTATGGCTAATTTGTTTAAATAATGCACTGTTTGTGTCACGTGACAATTCTAACTAAAATAAATAAAGTAATATTTTAAGTTTTTTGAATATCTGCCTTTCTATTAAATGATATTAAAAAGCAGAATACTCTTCCTAAGAACCGAAAAGCGCATTTTAAATTTAAATGTCTCCTTTGAACTTGAGTTTTGGTTTTATTTTTAAAATAATACTAGCTTAAAGCTAATTCGAATTAAAAGGAAAAAATAAATTTTTAGGCATTAAAACATTGGCACGTTTTCTCGTCACTCATCGAAAAATAGACGAAAAATGTAAACAACAAATTCAAAAATCTCTTAAAAATTCAGTTTTTATCCTCAAGATCTGTTTCGAAGTCATTTAGTAAATTTAAAGATTAAGTAACTAGAGTTCATAACAGTAAGGTTTACTTTTTACTTAATGAAAAAAAAACGTTTATTTATCAAAAGGTAGCTGGTAGGGTCATAGGTTAAAAACAAACTAAAATTAAAAAAAAAATCTGATAATCATGCCCCTAACTTAAAAGCGCGCGATAAATTTAAAAATAAAAATTAACACCAATAGTGCAAATGATCAAGACATTGATATGCATGTTTAAAAGTAAATTATCTTTAACCTTATATAACTAATACATTACGAATATAATTTTTATACTATACAATTTTATGAAACTTAGGATGAGTAATTTTATTTTTTATACTTCATTAGTAGTTTTAGTTAAATGATACTTTTTAATTTTATTATTATTTCCTTACCGGTTTGATATAAAATATCCAACTGCTCCCAATGTGTTTTAATAGTTGCTAAACGGAAGAAAAAATTTTTAAACGGAAGAAAAAAATTTTTTAAAAGTTTTACACTCGAGAAAAACATTAAACTTTTTTTTTTAATCTTCAAACACGTCTTTAATAATAATCATAATAACTTCTTACGAACAATGTTGTTATTTCAAAATCGCACTGACAAATTACAAGTATTTTTTTCTTTTAAATAAATATTAAGTGTTTTTTTTCCTGTCCAATCTGAAAGAAAATAACGATTTCTTAAATTATACAAGCACCAACTATTTAAAAAATATATTTTTTTAAGATTCAGGATAAATTTTCCGGATTCTCACATTTGATATTGCATATTATTATTATTATTATTTTTACAGGAATAACATCTTCAGGGATTTCTTTTTCTATAACTGTGAAAAGTTTGATTAACACCCCCAAATTAAGAAAGTACACGAGGTATCGAAAAGCGGGGACGATGAAACAGATAGATCCCTCCCACAAATATTTCCACAGAGTTTTCTAATAAAATAACCTGTATACAATTCATTCATTAATGAATAAGTACTGAAAATTCCGCTCGAATTGGATAATTTTCTTACTTTGGGTAAATATTTTGTTGGTACCTAGTAAAATGGTAAAAAAAAATCCTAGATTACTCATGCAGAAGAAAATCTAACCAATGCAATTGCAAAATTATTTATACACAATCATTTTTCGACGGTACGGGTAAATTAGCAATCGTAATAAAACAAGGCTACTTGAAAGGCTGAAAAAACACTCTTAGGAATAATTTTATATATTTTTAAAATCATCCCTATCTGGTAAAAGTTTAAGAGAATTTTTCATATTTGTTTTTCAAAATACTTCTGTATTTATGAAGTATTCTTTAACGAAATTTAAAAGATGATAAATAAATATTTTAAAAAGTACGCTCGTAATAAAAGATCAGCCAAAGATTGATCAGTTAATCACACGTTTTTACAATGAATCATTTCATTCCCACTGTTCATTGAGAGAAAGAAAAAAAAAAAAAAAAAGAAGAAAAGAAAAACGCTATCGCCCCAAAGTACACAAAGAAATCTTATAAAATATTTTGTCGACATTTTTAAATCTTTCCACAGTAAAACAGGATTCATAGAAGGGAAAAAAAAAATCACACGACCATATAACAAAAATACAAGATAAGAAACATTTAAGGAATATAATAAAGCTTAGTTGTTTGCACTAAAATATTCAAACCCGACTAACCATTATTCTGAATTATATGCCCTACAACACTTGAATTAACCTTAAAATTTTCTCCGATCTTTAAGACCAGTCATAAAAATAAAAATTGAAATCATAAATTTTGAATTCTAACTGAATAGGCAATTTCTACACACCCTGGAAATAACCACTTTAGATTAGTTTTAATTAATATTAAAGCGATGTTAAAGGGCAGTGGACATGGAAAATATTTGTAAACAGTAAAAAAAAGTGTTCGATGTTTTCAAACACACACAAAGCGATTAATACCTTCAAGGGAAATAACCCTTGAAAGAAAAAAAAAAAACAAAAAAACAAAAAGGTTATTCCCCCTTTCTACGTCACCTTTGAAAGAATTTTATAATTTATCGAAAAAACAAAAATACATTTTCGTAAACAAAATTATCTTTAATATTGCTTTTCAGCTAATCTTAGACAATGAATTCTATAAATTTTAATTCAAAGTAGCTTAAATTACTAGACAAACTTTAGTCGCTCTCAGTTAACCCATGTATGATAGATATTTTTCACATTTTTTTTTTTAAACATGGGATACAAAAGCTTATAAAATTGTACAATGACAGCTGTAATAATGCTATTTTCCTGGTGCAATCATTTCTAGTTCAAAATGAAATCTAAAGACAACTTCATTTTCTCATTAAAATGACTTCTGACAATAAATTACATTGATCACTAATCTCAGAGAAGCTTTTATTGGTGTTATTCTTTCACTTGAAGATTGTCATGGTTTATCTTTTTCAGGAAACACAGAGGTTTATATTTTCATTGCTATTAATACTTCTACTTAAATTAAAAATGTCTGTGAGAAATGAAATATAGGAATATATTCACAGGCTTATTTTGTACCTAATGTTACAGATTTTCTACCATTGCCAGAGCATAAATGGATAAAGAAAAAAAAAAAAAAAAAGAATTACACAAACAGGTTTTCAGTAAATCTGCCCTCCCAACTTGGAAAACTGAAGCAAAAAGTTCCCCCATCCCTGCAATATTAAGAAATTAATATTGAAAAATTAATCTGTTTAGGATTAAAGAAATCAGAAAAAATTCATGGAAAAAAAAAAAAAAAAAAAAACAGGATGAAATTTTTTTTTTTTTTTTATGATTTAAACATTGGATTATTTAAGTTACTCAAAAGTTATAATTCAAACATTATTGCGTACCAATAGTATAAATTTACTTTAAAATCAATTCAAACAATTTAGAAATCACTGGACAAACTTGAATTGCATCCTGTTAACACACACACATATATATATATGTGTGTATGTATGTATGTATATATATAGCTAACATCTACCATAATTTGACTCAAGTTATCGTGGTACATCAATAACAAATTTAGTTTAAAATCATTTTGGGCAGTTTGGGGAATTGAACTGAATCTTTCCCCAAACAGGTATGTATTTCTTGGCTAGAGATAAAAATGTGAAACACCCAGTAAGGATTGAATGATTTATAAGATGAATGTCATGAGAGTTTGGAAAGCTAAATAAGGAAAGCTGCTTTGGGCTAAACAATTTTCTCTTTCAGTTATGTTAATGTCAGTGGGCATCACCAACCAAACTAAAGAGAAAACTTGATCGACCTGTTCTGAAATCAGCACCCTTAACATTGGGCTATGCTTGCAAGTAACACGTCATTGTGAAATCAAAATCTGCTTTCAAGTTTTTGTCTGGTTTCTTTGTGGCTAAGGACAAAGTGTAAAAGCATTTTTTTAAGCTGATATTGATTAGTTATCAATTGAATGTTTATTGATTACCCTCAGTAGTAGATTCACCAAGCACTTAGTTTTGGCAGAAAGTCAAGTTCCATAAAGTAAAGACATTTTGCCAAAAAGTACATTAAACATAGAAATTCCAACCAAGTTTTTTTTTTCTTTTAGTGATATGACAAAAGTTTTTAGGCACAATTTTTGTGAAACTGGTTCTAAAATTATAGGCTGATAAGATGTAATCTTTATCACAATCTATCAAGTAATTTTGAAATTTCTGGTTTAGGTTCATGTCAATAGATGTTCCAAGATTGAGCATCATTTAACACCAACCGTTCTAAGAATTTAGTTTTGTTGTGCTTATCACATTTTGGTCAAGACACCCTTTGACCTTTCTCAGCTGTGTACATCTATAGAAAGTTCATCCTGTAGTCATTCTTTTAACTCATGCATACATAAGAAAATCGTTCAAGAGATTTGGGAGATGGGGAGTAGTTTTCTCCCCATCCCACTTTGGATAAGAGTCCAAATTTTAGGCATTATATAAAAGAAAAAGATTTGTATCTAGTTAAAAAAAAAATACAAAAA